TAAATTTTTCAGTCTTTTGCACTCCTTGGATGACATTAATCTGGCCTCCAGTTCTAATGTTAAAAATCTTGGTGTTATTTTTGATCAGGACATGTCTTTTATCCCCCACATTAAAAATGTTGCTAGAACTTTCTTCTTCCACCTGCGTAATATCACTAAAATTAGAAACATCTTATCTAAAAACGATGCAGAAAAACTGGTTCATGCATTTGTCACATCTAGACTGGACTATTGTAATGGTTTATTATCTGGGTGTCCAAATACTTCTTTAAAAAGTCTCCAGTTGATCCAAAATGCTGCTGCCAGAGTCTTAACTGGAGTTAGTTGGAGAGATCATATCTCTCCAGTTTTAGCTTCTCACCACTGGCTCCCTGTCAAATCCAGAATTGAATTCAAAATCTTACTTATAACCTACAAAGCTCTCAACCACCTATCTCCATCTTATATTAAAGATCGTATTGTTCCATATTTTCCCAACAGAGCACTTCACTCTCAAACTGCAGGTTTACTCGCAGTTCCTAGAGTTTCCGAAAGCAGAATGGGAGGAAGATCTTTCAGTTACCAGGTTCCTCTCTTGTGGAACCAACTTCCAGTTTCTGTCCGTAAGGCTGACACATTGTCCAGTTTTAAGACTGGGCTTAAGACTTTCCTTTTTGATAAATCCTATAGTTATGGTCATCTTGTCATGCTCTCTTAAGCTGAGACTACAAGAGAACAAATTGACCTCATTTCCTTAAATGAATTGTTAAAGTTGAAAAATTTTAATTTGATACTATTTCTATCTTAACGTGTGATTCTTGACCTGCCATTGTGTATTTGTTCCTCTCAAACCCAACTGGTCGAAGCAGCTTCTCCTGAGCCTGGTTCTGCTAAAGATTTCTTCCTCGAGGGAGTTTTTTCTTTCCACTGTCGCCTTCATGCTTGTTCAAGATGAGAGTTCTGCGATGGAGCTAAACTCAAAGCAGACTGCTCCTCAGATAAATAGTTAAATAATTATTTTTATATATGAATGTTTCTGTTCAGTGCCCTGAGATGACTTCTGCTGTGACTTGGTGCTATATAAATAAACTGAACTGAAACTGAATTGAAATTGTAAAATTGAAAGAAAAGCTCCTGTGGTGAATGTGTGTTTCCATCAAGAGTCTCTGACCTCTTCACCTCTGGGTGTGAACAAAACACAGATGGTCATTTTAAAGTCATTAAAAACTGAATTTGTTTAATTTGAACAACAATGACGCAACACTTATTTTATTTTGTTCATAAAAGTTATGAGCCAATAAAAAGTAGAAAACAGCAACAAGAAAATAAATGCTGGTTTTAACCTGAAATCAACTTGAATCACAATCTCAGGAATTAGAAGTTCTGAAATTATCAAAAACTAAAAGAATATGAAAAAGAAACCTTAAATAATATGGACTGTTGAATGATTTTAAAGTGATAGTTCAAATCTTGTGGCATTTTTTGTAGAAAAGCTTTGAATAGTTTGTCTTGCTGTCATCTTAAATCATTTTTAGTCTCAAATGTTTTAATGCAGTTCATAAAACCAGTGTTTATTAAACCTTTACCATCTTCCAGTTTCTCATTATATGAATATTTATACAGAAATCTGTGATTATTTGCAAACCCAAATAGCAGGAGTTGTAGCTGTAGCACCTTTGGTTCAGCCTGGGTCACTTCAGACAGAAACATAACCATATTTTCACCAAAATTCATGGTCAGTAATGCAGGTAAAAATCCAACAATGTTCAGTCATGTCATTTGGACGGTTTCTTTTTTTGATGGGACATTTCATCCTTCATTCAAAGAACGTCTTCAATCTGAGGAGCCACAAACAAACTGATTCCTACAAACAGCATAGTGGGGAAAAAACAGTTTGCTGGTGCTAAAATGGCCTCTGGGGCCCGCCCTCTCCCCCATCAAATCCTCTGAGACAGTCGTGTCAAAGTGGTTCAAAACACCAAATGTTTGTGCTGTTTGTGGGAATCAGATTGATTGGTGGCTCCTCAGACTGAAGAAGTCCTTTAGGACGAAACGTCTCAGAAACCGTCCGGATGACCTGAACAACCATATTTTATTTTTGCAAAAACTATGATGTGAAAAATACAATAAACAGATTTACAGGATGCAGTGTAAATAAACGGCTTTAAGTGGTTGAAATTATATTTCTTTTGAGATGGCTGCAATCTACATGGTTTTTGTTCTGTTTGGACTTGTTGTTAGCTCAAATCCTGATCAGAATAAAACTATTTTTCTCCAAATTGAGGTCATTCAAATATCTCAGCAAAATATAAAATATCCAATCAAACTTTAGTCATGAAGCACTTTATAACAAACGCAAAGAAGAAACAAAGTCCAAAGAGTGCATGCTGTAAGAACAGCCATATGACAAATGCAACATAAAATTAATCAAAAATAACTTAAAATGAACGATTTCAAAGTGTGAAAGGCCAGGCAACTGTGATGTGTTTAAAATGCGACAAATACAGGCCTTTAATAAATTTTTATAACCAATTAATTTTACTAAATAATTGGAGCTATCCCTTTAATTGGCATTAGCTCAGCTGTATTGTTGCCTAACAAATGTCCTCTCACAGGAGTAAACACTTCAAATATGACTAAAGTGGTTACAGAGTAAGTTGTTCGCTCAGATAAAATAATCAATGTTTGTATATTTGTGAATCAGCTGTTCCAGGCAGTAAAAACTGGACACTTTACCATGTTGGAAAACCCAAAATACTCATTAAAAGAGATTGGGACAAACTGGCGTTTCTTCATTTGTGCAACTTCACCAAAATAAAAGGAGGCTCTGATATGACAGCTGCACATTTACCTCTTCACATTTCAGCAGCACAGTTTACCAGGTGAGGTGTGTTTTCTGGATGTGGATTATGTTTCCAGCAGTAAACGTTTTACTACAGACCATGAAACTAATAAAGTTTTCTCTTTTTACACAGAAACCCAGAGAAAACTTTGTAAAAACATGAGGACTGTGATTTTGGCTGTTTTGGTGTTTCTGCTCATCAGTCAAAGTGAGTAAATCTGCAAACCTGCTGTCTGTTTTTACACTTAATCTACATACAACACAAAATAGCTACTACATGGATGTTTCCTTGAGCATATAACAGTTTATTAAATAGAAGTAACTGTGGTAATGACATCTTTGTGTTTCTTTGTGCAGATGAAGCCTTGAGGTGTTTCTGTGGAGGTAAAAGGCGATGTTCTGGTTCTATAGAGACCTGCGCCAGCTCTGACAGTGTCTGTATCAGTGCCAGCTTTTATGGAGTTCCTCGTGAGTAGAAGTGTTTTACGATGTATTTAAAGTGCCAGGATAAAAGTGCATGAGCTGATGAAAACTTCACAAACAGCCTGATGATGAATCCTCTCCTTGTGTTTTCACAGAGCCCTTCTTCTTCCAGGGCTGCTACAGAGACAGTGACTGCGTGAAGGTGAATCTTCCTGGTCTGTCGTCCGCCAGATGCTGCAGCTCAGACCTTTGTAACAGATAAAAAGGAGTTTTAATTAAATCAGCCTCTGCTGAATTCAAAGTCCAGCTGCTTAAATAAAATTCAACTTCTTCTAACATGTGTCCTTGATCAGTGTGATTAATTTAAAAAAAATCTAAATATTAAATTAATTACAGCTGTATTTTCAAAAATACTAAACGATATAAAACATATTTATTAAATTGCTTTAAGTTAGAATGTTTTATATTTAATATGACATTTAAACGCCATTGGTTCCACCGTCTTTTTGCCAAACAGACACAGAACAAAAACCAAATAACACTAAAACAATTATAGGTTATGTTTATATGAAACAACAAAATAATTATTTTTCTAAATTCAGTTTGTGAAACAGCTGTGTGTTTTGCAAGCACTGGAGTTTGACCTTTTCTGCGTTAACACGAACAACTTGTTTAGTTAATAGAAAACCAGGGTTTCTTGCAGTTGTGCAACTTTTCCAAAATAAGAGCAGGTTCTGTTGTGACTGCTGCACATTAAAGTTTCTCTTTGCAGCAGCAGTGTTTACCAGGCGGGATGAAGTTGCATGCATTTCTGTACTTTTACAGTAAAATTCAGATTATTCCAACTTTTGCCCATCAAGAATTTATAAAAGGTGATCAATTTTATTACCTAATTACAGCATATTTGGTGCACTAGCTCATGTGGAAAACCCAATAAAGTCAGGTGTATTTTTAGATTTTTCAAGGAATGCTTGTCGCCTGCTGCCCTTCATGCCCGAGGTTTGACCTAAAATAATTTTATGTTGACAAAAGAAGCGGTTGATAATAACATTATGAGCAATCACATGCAATATAACAAAATGTCATGTTTGTATGTGTTGTGAATGTCTCTTAGCTGTGATCACATCAAGTTTTAGCTCAATATCCATATCCATAAATATCCGTTCAGAAAGTTTCATTAAAATTTGTTCAGTGTTTCATGGGATATTTCGCTAACAGACAGACAGAGACAATGGGGAAAAATCATTACTATTTGCCTTTTAATTTTGGCAATAATACACCAAGGTGACGTATATCTTTCTGTTTTGACACATTTTAATTTTAACGTGTTTTTAAACACGATTTCAACTTTCAGTTTTTGTTGCATTTGGCGAAAGCAGTTATTTTTATTTATTTGTATGACAATATTTAAAGATAACAGCTTATTTTGTAGCGATAACATGTGCTTATAATAACTTGCTTTGACCTGGAAAAGTTTCTATTTTTCAACTAATTCAAGTGCTCTGCATTTAATCCGAGATCTGGATTGTCTGTCGTCACAACACTTTCAGTGTTGTGTGTGTGTGTGTGTGTGTGTGTGTGTGTGTGGTGGTGGTGGTGGTGGAGGGGGGGGGGGGGGGGGGGGTGATGGGGTTTTGACCTTGTCTGTGTGTGAGAGGAAACCCAGATGTTTTTTTTTCATTCAAAGTTAATGATGAACTGTAATTTTCTGCAGTTCGTCAACAGTAAAAATAAAAAGGTTGGGGACAACCTGACTGGGACCATCCAACATTTCACACTTCAAGACAACAATTAGAAAGGTAGGAATGGGCTTAAAGCTGGAACATGTGGATCATTTTAGATAAAATTCTGAATATGATCTTGCTTCTTTTTTTTTTCAGGAATCCAGAAAACATGAAAGTGTTCATTCTTGCACTTTTGGTAGTGTTGTTTGCCAATCAGAGTGAGTAAATCTGCACCTCTAACTTTTTTCCTGTGTTGCAAACAAGTTCGTGAATCTGTGCTTTAAACTTGGCACTCCTGTTTTTCTCACCATGGAATGAAGACTTAGCCTTGCAGTGTTACTGTGGTGGCAGAAAGCAGTGCTCCAGTTCTACTGAGACCTGCTACCATGGCTCTGCCAGTGTCTGCATTCATGTCAAACTTCATAATGTAGTTGGTTAGTGTGGGCCTCCTTTACTGTGACAAGCAAGCTCATCCTTTCATCCAGACCAGTAAAACCTTAATCTTCTCCTTTTGTATTTTTTCCAGGTGGGTATTACTTCAAGGGCTGTGCAAGATCTGACGCCTGTAAAATTTATGACAAACCGGGTAATTCTGTCACTTGCTGCTGGACCGACTTTTGTAACTGATATCAAGCAAATAATGTTCAGATGAACAGATGATCGACAGTGGAACTGCAGCTCTGACACAATAAAATTCAGTCTTTTGCAACATTTTTTTAAGATTGTTTTGATTTAGATTATTACAATCGGTGTACCGGGAAAAGGAAGGATATGAAGACTGGAAGCAAGGATGTGTTGAAGCCCATGCCAAGAGAGCTCAAAAGCTGCTGACAGCAGAAAGAAAAATCGTTTGACAAACTAAACAACATAAACACATGGAAGAACCATATTCTGGCAAGAAACAAATAAAGGCAGCCTTTGGGATCATATAAACATAGCTGGGGCTCAACTGTATCATGTTAGGATAATTTTATTTTCACCAAGTTACACTACAAAAAACTATTTTTTTTTTTAGATAAATGAATAACTCATTATCTTGTAATTGTAAATACACTACAGTATTTCTTTATCTATGGTTTTGGCCTCTGCTTCTTGTGTCTGCCATTTGATTGGGTCTGACGTTATCACGTGATCGAGGAATCCAGGAAGTGTTTTGGTTACAGAAAGCGGAAGCGAAAAAATTACTGAACCCGAAATTATTTTTTGGGGAAAAAATAGAGCTGTTGTTTAAGAAGAAAAGAGTGAGGCGATATATTGCGTGCACTCTGTTTGGATTAAGTGTGGTTTTTCGTTGTTGGTAAGAGCGTCTAATGTTTTATTTTTTATGTTTATACTTTACGTTAGCCTTCAGTAGCGATGCTAGCTTAGAGACGAGCTTTAGCCTCGAAGCTAACTTACATAGCTGTGGTTTCAGAGAGCTTACGCGTTAAAAACAGCTCGGACAGACTTTGTAATCTGTTTGTTTCACATTTGTTGTGTTTTCGATTAAATTACTACAGAGGCTTGGACTGTTTTGCCTCCGTAAGTTAAATTTACATCTGGTGAGAGGAAAAAACAGCTCTCTCTTTGAAGTCACCCTCCTAGTTTAGCAAACATGTCAAGTCAGTGTTTTCAGGCCCATCAATATAAAGTCTTGTGTCGTTTCTCATTTCTTTCCTTTTGCTTCTAAGGAGTAAGACTTTATTGTAACATAAGTGGTGTTGTGCGAAACTTCTCCGTGCTTTTTGAAGGTATTTTCCTTTAGACTGTGCTCATTCCACTCGTATTTTACTCTATATCCATTTTCAGTTTGGGTTTATTTTTGCCAACTAGGTGGTTCCCAAAGAGCTGACAGCTTTGACTTGCTGTAAATGATCAACTGAAGGATGATGCATTTCTATATCTTATCATATCTTTGCTGGATCTTTTTCCTTATTTCTTGAAGACGCGAATTTTAGTTTCTATTCATTTGATTTCGCAGTCAAAAGTTTTATCACACGTTCCACAATATGTTGTTATGATGCAAGGACTGGACAGAGAATTAATTAGTATTAATGCTGCCAAAGTCTAAAGAGAAACTTTGTCAAATCTTCAGAAAGCTTACTACTGATCAAGACCAATTTAAAAGATGACAAGAATGTCTGATTGCTTGAAAGAAAATGCAAAGATACAGAGATGAGGTCATGTTGATGATATTGTTTAATGCCACATTGAGCTAATTAGATTTGTATTTACATATTGTTATTGCACATTAAACATATGACCAAAATATTGTGATGACTGTTCTTAAATTATCTCAAAGGACATTTTAAAGCTACTTAATTAATATTCATATTTGATTAGCAATAATAAAACAATTATATTTAACAGCTTATGATTTTACAAATGTGTACGAGGTCAAACTATTATTGAAAGACTTGCTTCACTGATTTAATTATTGAAAAAAAAAAAGACATTAGAGACTTTACATTTGTGAAGGGCTAAGTTATTTAAAATAATGTCTTTAAAACATATTTTCTTGTAAGTTAGGCCTTGTTGTTCATCATCACTAACCTTTTATGTAATGTTACCAATAATAAACAAAGCAAATCAGCCACATAACTTTCTTGTTTGACATTGCGCATGCAAATGTGCTGTTGGTTAAAAAAAAGCAATAAAAATGTTACCAGTTTGGTGTTTTATTGGAAAATGTTTGCAACTGAATAAATATAATACAAGATTATAGTCCATAAATATTTTATTGACTGATCTAGTTTCATAGTGTTGTCTAAGTTAGATTCATCCTTTTAATGCAGTTTTACAATTAGGCTTCATGCTCAAATTCTATTTTCTTTTACTATTATTCTGTTTGAAACATTTTAGGTGCCTTGGATACACAAATACCCTTGAGGCATAAAAATTGATTGGTATTTCATCTTAAAAAGTGAGTTTTTAGTAGGGGTGCACCGATTGCAATTTTCTGACCAATCACTTTCTTCTTATTCTTCTTTTGGCTTTTCCTTCTTCAGGGGTCGCCACAGCGAGTCATCCTCCTCCACCTCACTCTGCATCCTCTGTCCTCACTCCAACTACCTTCATGTCCTCTTTAACTTCATCCATATATCTCCTCTTTGTCTTTGTCCTGGCAGCTGCATTTCTAACATCCTTCTTCCAATATACCTACTGTCCCTCCTCTGGACATGTCCAAAACATCTCAGTTTGGCCTCTCTAACTTTATCTCCCAGTTGTTCAACCTGTGCTGTTCCTCTGATGATCTCATTCCTAATCATATCCAGCCTTGTCACTCCTAAGGAGAACCGTAGCATCTTAATTTCTGCCACTTTCAGTTCTTTCTCCTGTCTTTTTGTCAATGCCACTGTCTCCAGACCTTACAATATATCTGGTCTCACAACTGTCTTGTAAACTTTTCCTTTGACATTTGCTGACACCTTTTTGTCACAAATCACTCCTGAAACTTTTCTCCATCCACTCCATCCTGTCTGGACTCTCTTTTTAACTTATTTACCACATTCCCCATTTTCCTGGACAGTGGACTCCAAGTACTTGAAGTCCTGCACCTCTGTGACTTCTGCTCCTTGTAGCCTCACTGTTCCACCGGCCTCCCTCTCATTCACACACATGTACTCTGTCTTACTACGACTGACTTTCATTCCTCTTCTTTCAAGTGCATACCTCCACCTCTCCAAATTCTCTTCCACCTGTTCCCTGTTCTCACCACAGATCATAATGTCATCTGCAGACATCATCGTCCATGGGGATTCCTGCTTGACCTCATCTGTTGGTCGGTCCATCACCAGAGCAAACAAGAAGGGGCTCAGAGCCGACCCTTGATGCAATCCCACCTCCACCTTGAAGCTATCTGTCACTCCTACAGCACATCTCACCACTGTCCTGCTGTCCTCATACATGTCCTGTACCAGTCTAACATACTTTTCTGCTACTCCAGATTTCTTCCTGCAATACCACACCTCCTCTCTTGACCTCCTCTCTTGGCACTCTGTCATATGCTTTTTCTAAATCCACAAAGACACAATGGAGTTCTTTCTGACCCTCTCTGTACTTCTCCATCAGCATTCTCAAAGCAAAGATGGCTTCTGTGGTGCTCTTTCTTGGCATGAAACCATACTGCTTCTCACAGATAGTCACCTCTCATCTAAGTCTTGCTTCCACAACTCTCTCCCAGATCTTCATTGTGCGGCTCATCAACTTAATTCCCCTGTAGTTGCTACAACTCTGTACATCACCCTTGTTCTTAAAAATGGGCACCAGCACACTTCTTCTCCATTCCTGAGGCATTTTCTCACCCTCATATATGCCATTGAATATTTGAGTCAAAAACCTCACTGCCATCTCTATAAGACATTTCCAAACCTCCACTGGTATGTCATCAGGTCCTACTGTCTTCACTTTCTTCATTCTTTTCAGAGCTTTTCGGTCTTCACCTTCACTAATCTTTCCCACTTCCTGGTCCACAGTTTCTATGACCGCTACTCATCTTTCTCTTTCATTCTCTTCATTCATTAGCTCCTAAAAGTACTCCTTCCATCTTCCCGTCACACTCTCCTCACTTGTTAGAACATTACTATTCCTATCTTTAATAAGCCTAACCTGCTGCACATCCTTTCCAGCCTGATCCCTCTGTCTTGCCAATCAGTACAAGTCCTTCTCGCCCTCTTTAGTATCCAGTCTCCCATACAACTCATCGTACGCCCTCTGCTTTGCCTTAGCTACTTCCCTCTTTGCTCTACGTCCCATCTCTTTATATTCCTGTCTCCTCTCTTCAGTCCTCTCACTGTGGGGCAGCTGTGGCTGAGTGGTTAGAGTAGTCATCCTCCAATGCGAGAGTTGGGGGTTCGAATCCACCAGCAGTCACATGCCGAAGTGTCCCTGGGCAAGACACTAAACCCCTCAAAGCCTCCGATGTGTGTCCCATCAGTGTATGAATGTGAGCTAAAAGCACTGATGAGTCTCATTAGAATGATTTGTTTAGTTAGCTTTGTAGAGATGTAGAGTGCTGTATGAATGGGTAAATGAGGACACCGATTTTAGTGTAAAGTGCTTTGAGTATCTTGAAATAAGATGGAAAGGCGCTATATAAGTACAGTCCATTTACCATTTACTGTCATATTTCTTCTTGGCTAATCTTTCTTTGAACAACGTCCTGCACTTCACTATTCCACCACCAGGTTTCCTTATCATCCATTATCTGTCCAGATGACACACCAAGTAACTTCCTACCCGTTTCTCTAATTACTGTTGCTGTAGTAGCCCAATCATTTGGAAGCTCTTTCTTACTACCCAAAGCCTTTAACAGCTCCTCTCTGAATTTCTCACAACATTCTTTCTTCTTCATCTTCCACCATTTGGTCTTCTTCTCTGATTTTACTCTTTTTCTCTTCTTCACAACAACAGTCATTCTACACACAACCATCCGATGCTCTCTGGCCACGCTCTCCCCTGCCACAACCTTACAGTCTCCAATCTCCCTCAGGTTTCCTCTTCTACACAGAATGTAGTCCACCTGCATACTCCTTCATCCACTTTTATAGGTCACTCTATGTTCCTCCCTCTTTTGGAAATAGGTATTGACTATAGCCATTTCCATTCTCTTGGCAAAATTCACCACCATCTGTCCTTCCTGGTTTCTTTCCTTGACACTAAACCTACCCATTACTTCCTCATCCCCTCTGTTTCCTTCACCGACATGTCCATTCAGGTCTGCTCCGATCACCACTTTCTCCTCCCTGGGAATACTATCTATCACTTCATCCAGATCTTTCCAAAATGTACCTTTCTCCTCCTCATCACATCCAACCTATGGCGCATAACCACTGAAGATGTTTAGCATCAGACCTTCTACTTCTACCTTCAGACATATCACCCTATCTGACACTCTCTTCACCTCTACTACATTCTTTGCCAACTCCTCCTTCAGGCTCACCCCTACTCCATTTCTCTTTTTATCCACACCATGGTAAAACGGTTAGAACTCTGCTCCAATGCTGCAAGCCTTGCTGCCCTTCCACTTGATCTCTTGGACACGTAAAACATCTACCTTCCTTCTCTACATCATGTCAGCTAGCTCTCTACCTTTGCCTGTTATTGTCTCCACATTTAGAGGTGCAACCCTCAGTCCTACATTCTTCACTTTCCTCTTCTCCCTCTGTCTCCTGACGCATTTCTCTCCTTGTGGTCTTAGTTTTCTGGACGATCACCGATTTCTAAAAAGTCTGACCTGATGATTACGATTTTGTTTTCTAAGAGACTCTGGCAGGTGTTGTAAGGTCACAATGCACCTTCAATTTTCGAATATTATTTTGTTGAAAAACATACCCTTGAACAATATCCTAGAAACAATACAAACTTGTTTTAACTGGCCATGTGGTAGTGCTCTGAAATATGACAGAAGTTCAGACAATTTTTGTAAAAACTAAAACAATCTGTAAAAATCGGTTTCTAATGTAAGTATCGGCTGATTTCCCAAAATAAAGGAAATCGAGGCCGATAAATCGGCTGGCAGATTTATCAGTGCACCCCTAGTTTTTAGTGCTTTTTTCCTCGTTTATCTCATGTAGACTAGAATAAATATTACGTGGCTGAATTTCTCAACATGACTCCTAGGAAAAATTCTTGTGCAGGTTATAAAAGTTCTTTAAATTTTTACACAAGCTACAAGCAAAAGGGAGGATTGCCATTATTCTTATTTAATGGAACGTTTTATTTCAAGAAACGTGAAAATATTTACCCTCTAATGGAAAATAAGGATTTATAGAAGTCTGTCTTTATTTAACCAAATCTGACTAGTTTTTTTTTTTTTTTTCAAACAATACTAACAATCTAAACATGTTAATTTTGTTTATGGAAATCTGACATTTTTTTGTATTATTTGATATTTATTAGATCCTCTAATCATTTAATATTTAGTTCCAGAACCAACTGTTTCCGTAGGCTTTATTACTTGGTTAAGAGTTATGTATTTTTCTAAAAGACTAGAAAAATTGATAACAGTCAAAAAAGTTTGGTGATTTGCTTTAACTGCATTTTTAAAATTTATTTTAGGAAACCGGTTGCTCCTCTGACTCTCGATCAGTTTGTTTTTTTGCCTCCATCAGTGGGATCAATAATCATCAGTGCCAGAGTTTCCACAACGCAGGAGCTTTCCTTCCACAACCTCCACCTGTAGCTTCACATCACTTCAGCCTGCCTCATTTGTACCCATCTCTGTCGATGGCTGGGCGTGGCGGCGGACCGAGCAGGCCTAATGGAGCCACAGCAACAAACAAAATCTGCCAGTTCAAACTGGTCCTGCTGGGGGAGTCGGCGGTGGGCAAGTCCAGCTTAGTGCTGCGGTTCGTCAAAGGCCAGTTCCATGAATTCCAGGAGAGCACCATTGGAGGTAAAGAGCAAAGTGGTTTTGCTTTTCTGTGTGTATCTAAAAAAGTTAAATCTGGTCCTCTGGACATTCAAAAAAACAAAACGAAGCAAGACAACAAAAAAATGTAGAAACGTTTCGTCTCTCATCCGAGAGACTTCCTCAATCTGAGGTGCTGTATTCAGCTCAGTCTCTTAAATAGCACCTTCTCAGAGTGGATCAACCAGTTTGCTGCTGACAACCAAAACCAGCTGATCACATGCTCAAGAAGGACCATCAGCCTAACAATGGATCATTAGCACACTGATGGCTGTTTACTACTCACAGAGGGCTGAGTGATACCAGCAATCACAGCATTGTAAGAGGGGGACAATTGAACCCGGAGGCCTCCACCCCTGTTTAACGATGGACGATTTCTTTTCACAAAGATGGCCTCCTTTACTCCTCTCTCAAACCATCGTTCCTCTCTATCCAGGATGTGCACATCTTCATTCCTGAAAGAGTGACCGCTGGCCTGGAGATGAGTGTAGACCGCAGAATCCTGGCCTGATGATGTTGATCTTCTGTGCTGGGCCATCCTTTTGGCCAGTGGCTGTTTAGTTTCCCCGATGTAAGACTGATCACAGCCCTCCTGACACTGAACAGCATACACAATATTACTCTGTTTGTGCCGGGGGACTGGATCTTTGGGATGAACCAGTCTTTGCCGTAATGTATTTTGGGGTTTAAAAGCCACTGGGACGTTATGTTTAGAAAATAAACGTCTCAGTTTCTCTGATACTCCCTCAACATATGGAATGACCACTGGTCTGGGTCTGGGTTCCTCCTTTTCACCTGATGGCTGACTGGAGTCCTGTTTGGGTTTCTTCTCTGCTTTCAGGAAGGCCCAGTTAGGATATCCACATTGCTCTAGAGCCTGTCTTGTGTGCGATTTCTCCTTCTGCCTGGCTCCTGAGCTAGTGGGGATGCTGTCTGCTCTGTGATACAGAGTCCTGATGACTCCTAACTTGTGCTCCAAAGGGTGATGGGAGTCAAACTGCAAATACTGGTCTGTGTGGGTGGGTTTGCGGTACACCTCGGTTTGCAAATGTCCTCTATCATCGTCCATCATTAAACAGGGGTGGAGGCCTACGTGTTCAACTGTCCCCCTCTTACAATGCTGTGATTGCTAGTATCACTCAGCCCTCTGTGAGTAGTAAACAGCCATCAGTGTGCTAATGATCCATTGTTAGGCTGATGGTCCTTCTTGAGCATGTGATCAGCTGGTTTTGGTTGTCAGCAGCAAACTGGTTGATCCACTCTGAGAAGGTGCTATTTAAGAGACTGAGCTGAATACAGCACCTCAGACTGAGGAAGTCTCTTGGATGAGAGACGAAACGTTTCTAGATTTTTTTGTTGTTTTGTTTTGTTTTGTTTTTTTGAATGTCCAGAGGACCAGATTTAACTTTTTTAGATTTTTCTACCTGGATTATTGAGCATGCATCAGGATATTTTCTGTGTGTAGATTATGTTGTTTAGAAAAGTTTTTTTTTAACAACTCACTTTGAGGCATATCTTAAACATCAGCTTTTTCTTTCAACTAGATTTAATGTGTTTTAAAAGTTTTGCTGAACTGTGAGATTTCCTTAGTAGCGCTGCTTTAATTTGGCAGTTTCATTTGAAATCATAAGCGGCTCAGTTAAAACAAATGTATATATTTTTTTAATCTTTACTCTGTTCATGTCAGTTTTGTTTCCAAACATGAAGGGTCTTCATGGGTCCTAAAGCAAGTTCCTGAACTTAAATAACCTTTAAATAGAACTAAGTATTTGGAAAAAAAAGTATCATATTGTCTTCAAATAATTTAAAGTAGCCTCAAAATCTGAGGAATAAACCTTAACCTGTTTTTTAACAGTCCGGGACCCCTCAGTATTTGAATGGGACCAATCCCTGTTTTCATATTATTTATGTAGACTAATCAAGACCTCTAGTTGTTTACTTTAATTTTACTTAAAAATAATATCTAAACATTAAATTATAAAAGATAAAATGGCTAACTTTAATTTGCCGTTTAAATTAGTCTGATCTTCTAACTCTCCCTCAATCATGACTATTAAGATGGAAACTTCTGAATCCATTGTCCTTTTTTCTCAGCTGCGTTCCTCACTCAGACTGTCTGTCTGGATGACACGACTGTGAAGTTTGAGATCTGGGACACAGCAGGTCAGGAGCGCTACCACAGTCTGGCTCCGATGTACTACAGAGGCGCTCAGGCAGCCATCGTGGTCTACGACATCACCAACACAGTGTGTATCTCCTGCAACATAAAACAAATATTATAACTCCATATACTTGCCAAGCAGAACTTGTTCTTATATAAAAACTGATGATTAAATTATTCTGTTTCTACAAAAGTGACATAGCCAGTGTTGGGTTTGATTCAGGGATACAAGATATTCTGTGATTTTAGTTTTTGTGTTTTATTCTAATTAGATCTATTCTAAGAATAAACCTTTGTTTGGATATTTTTAGGTTTTCTACGCCTTACAATAGCTGTTAGTTTAAAATACTGCGAGTTAAAACAACACTAATCAGTTTGTTGATTCATTAGGACACTTTTGCTCGTGCAAAAAACTGGGTGAAGGAGCTTCAGAGACAAGCCAGTCCCAACATTGTGATCGCTCTGGCAGGCAACAAGGCAGACATCTCCGATAAGAGAGCTGTGGACCTTCAGGTATGAAAATACAGTTACAGTAAACAAGAAGGGTTAGATTCTTTGTATTTTAATAAAATGTTTATATATGTTCGTAGGAGGCACAGGTTTATGCTGATGATAACAGCCTGCTCTTTATGGAGACTTCAGCCAAGACTGCCATGAATGTCAATGAAATTTTCATGGCTATTGGTAAGTACTTTTGTTTTTATGTACATGAATTACCATATATTTCAGACTATAAGGTGCACTTAAAATTCTTAAATGTTCTCAAAAATTGACAGTGAGCCTTATAATCAGGTGCACCTTATGTTTTAATTTTGGTTGTGCTTACTGACCTCAAACCGATTTTATGTGGTTATTGTGAATGAGTTGAATAAAATTTGACTTATCTGACTGTTTCACTTAAAGCGCCTTATAATCCAAAAAATACGGTAGATTATTTTCTAGGAATGTCCTGATCTGTTTTAGTTATAAACATTTAACATAGAATATTTTTGTGTTTTTTAATGTGTTTGTAGCAAAGAAGCTACCAAAGAATGATCCTCAGGGCGCAGCTGGTCAGGGGGGGAGGACAAGGACGGGAGTGGATCTACAAGAAGCTCCCCCTCAAGGCCGCAGCAGCCAGTGTTGCGGCAGTCATTAACAAAGCCCAAAATAATGAACTTAGCAAGCGAGCCGTGAACATCATTTTAAGGATGATACGTAGCTGAAACCCTGACAGTCAGGAGGGGGCAGAGCCCCTCGCTTCTCCTGTACATAATCTCATATTGCAGATGTGATTATCTGAATCTTCTTTGATTTAAAAAAAAAAACTTTTAAAAACAAATCATAAGCTAGAGGGAAGTCCCAGCATCCCTCGGTTCTTTCCTCCGGGCTCTCCTCCATCTTCTCGTCTATCTTTCTGTTCATGTTCAGCTTGCGTCCATATTGATTAAACTCCGGTTTGCTTTACTGTTTTGAAGCGTGTTGCTGAGATTGTTGCCATTTTCTGCGTGTTCTGAATGTGTATGTATAGTTTCTATGTACAATAATATATACACACACATTTTCTACTCCTGTCATTTCCCTCTCCACGTTAATCTTTACGACATCTACAATTACCCGAATATAAACAGTGCTTAAAATAAAAAGCTACAGACTAGTGGTTAATCTTTTTGTCTTACTGCAGTGTCGTTCACAGCTTTTTGAACTCGTTTGCACCTGGAATTAACCTGTAATGATGACTGTATATATTGACGGCTTGCTCTGTGTCCGTTTCTACAAAAGCAAATTCCTTTGAATTTCCCGTACTTGTTTTAGTTTCGGTTAAGTTGACAAGAAACGCAGTGCCTCCTGTCTTGTAAGGAAATTCTCAAATGCTGTTAATTTCTCAGTAGACTTTCTGTGAGGAGGGGTTTATTTGCATTTGAAAAACTTTAGAGATTTACAGTAGGGCAACAGTTTGTCAGAGAGCCTGTACTGTGACGTCAGAGTGAAGCATGTGGTCAGGTTGTACTGACTGGACTTTACACCCAGCTGAGATTCTGTCACCAACTTAACCTGACTGATCCAATAGCACGCCGGTCACAACATGTGCTAGCTTTTTACCTTGCTCATATCTCTCTATGGATATCAGACTGTTGGAAAGTAGTTGTATGAATTATTCCAGAGAAAAACCCAATTAAATGTTAAAGACGCAAACATTGACTTGTCGGTTTGATAAATCCACACAAAATGCTTCTGGACTGTGCAACAAATAGCTGTTTTCATTTATTGTGTTAATAACTGTAACACAAAACTTGGTCTTTTTAATTTTAGAAATGTAAAATAGCTTGTAAATCAAATAAATAAATAACCTGTATTCCCCCACTTTTTTTTTGTTTTGTCTTGAGTTTTAGTGTGTTGGCTTCTATAAGGTGTTGTATTTATTCAGTACAAAGTTTGGCTGCATGTAGAAATCAGCGAAAATGGTAGGTACTCCTTTATTTAAGCTTAAAATATAATTAAATGAGCACATCTGTGAGTCCTAATTTAAGTACTTTTAATAGTAACTTGAGTTCATTTTTGCATTCCCAAGAATAATTATAAAACGGATTAAAGGCGACAACAGAACTGGCCTCAGTAAACATTTACGAGCAGCAGATGGCAGCATCACCTAAATACCAACATAATGAAGTCATCCCCAGGTTATTTTTCAATGCATGTATGTTTGTTGATTTATTGAGAAAACAAAAGTATTTTAATCAATATTGGTCATTTTGCTGTTTGAGTCGGCGTTTTGTGGAAATAAAAAAACAAATGTTTGTGTGCTTGTTGACTGTAAGAAGGCTGTTCGACTGAAGAAAGGCACATTAGTGTTGTGTTGCGTTTATGTTCGTTTCATTAACCCCACATCTTATTTTAGTGCATGTTTCTATTATTATGGCAGCAGTTTATCTTGTGTTGATTTGTGACCCATTATTAAGACATGTGTTGTAAGGTTTGCTGAAGAAATGGGCATTATTATAAATTGTGTCCCAAGTCTCATAGTGTCCGATATTTGAAATTGTGCTTCATGCTGATTTTGCACATGTATTTTTTTTATATCTATGTATATGTATATACAGTGAGGAAAGTAAGTATTTGAACACACTGCGACTTTGCAAGTTCTACGTAGAAATCATGGAGGGGTCTGAAATGTTCATCTTAGGTGTATGTCCACTGTGAGCGACATAATCTAATTTTTTTTTTTTTATCAGGAAATCACAATGTATATTTTTTTAATAATTTATTTGGGTGTTACTGCTGCAAATAAGTATTTGAACACCTGTGAAAATCAATGTTAATATTTGGTACAGTAGCCTTTGTTTGCAATCACAGAGATCAAATGTTTCCTGTAGTTGTTCACCAGGTGTGCACACACTGCAGCAGAGATTTTGGCTCATTCCTCCACACAGATCTTCTCTAGATCAGCCAGGTTTCTGGGCTGTCGCTGAGGAACGGAGTTTGAGCTCCTTCCAAAGATTTTCTACAGGGTTTAGGTCTGGAGACTGGCTAGGTCACTCCAGAACTTTGATATGCTTCTTATGGAGCCACTCCTTGGTTCTCCTGACTGTGTGCTTCGGGTCATTGTCATGTTGGAAGACCCAGCCACGACCCATCTTCAATGTTCTAATTGAGGGAAGGAGGTTGTTCCTCAAAATCTCACAATACATGGCCCCGGTCATCCTCTCCTTAATACAGTGCAGTCGTCCTGCCCCATGTGCAGAAAAACACCCCCAAAGCATGATGCTTCCACCCCCATGCTTCACAGTAGGGATGGTGTTTTTGGGATGGTGTTTATCGTTCTTTGTCCTTCAAACTTGGCGAGTGGAGTTTAGACCAAAAAGTTATATTTTGGTCTCATCTGACCACATAACCTTTCTTAGGATCATTGATATGCCACGAGGTAAGATCTTGCATGGAGCCCCAGTCAGAGGGAGATTGACAGTCATGTTTAGCTTCTTCCATTTTCTAATAATTGCTCCAACAGTTGATCTTTTTCACCAAGCTGCTTGGCAATTGTCCCGTAGCCCTTTCCAGCCTTGTGGAGGTCTACAGTTTTGTCTCTGGTGTCTTTGGGCAGCTCTTTGGTCTTAGCCATGTTAGTAGCTGGAGTCTTACTGATTGTGTGGGGTGGACAGGTGTCTTTATGCAGCTACCGACCTCAAACAGGTGCTTCTAATTTAGAACAAGTGGAGTGGAGGTGAACTTTGTAGAGGTGGACTAACAGGTCTTTGAGGGCCAGAACTGTTGCTGATTGGCAGGTGTTCAAATACTTATTTGCAGCAGTAACACACAAATTATTTAATTTAAAAATCATACATTGTGATTTTCTGATTTTTTAATTTATTTAGATTGTCTCTCACAGTGGACATGCACCTAGGATGAAAATTTCAGACCCCTCCATGATTAAGTGGGAGACCTTGCAAAGTTGCAAGATGCTCAAACACTTATTTTCGTCACTGTGTGTGTGTGTGTGTGTGTGTGTGTGTGTGTGTGTGTGTGTGTGT